CTTCAGCGGATCTCACCCTCCCCCGTTCTCATCGTATTCCCTCCTCCTCCCCCCCTCACACACTGTCATTATATATATGTGTGTGTGTGTGTGTGTGTGTGTGTGTGTGTGTGTGTGTGTGTGTTGTGGTTCCGATGCATGAGCCTGCGTTGTTAGAGGAAGAGGACTCGGAAGATGAGGATGATGAGGAATTGGGAATGCCTTCCTCCCCAGGACCTTCCTCTTTGGCAATGCCTTCCTCCCTGATTATGCCTCAGGTTTCGGCAGATAACCGAGAGGGACAGCCTGAGGCTAATCAGGAGAGGGAGGGCATATCGGAGCAGCCTCTGACAAAGAATCAAGTAGATGAATGCTGGCTTGATCCGAGGCAGCGTCGCAGGAAAAAGTGTGAGCTGCAATGCAGGAGGTGTGGACGAATCAGAGACTGAGCTGAGCCATGGAGACACACCCCACAGGGGATAAAAGTGGGTGTGTTTTCTCTGGGAACTCTGTACGGGACAAAGTGTGAATTTTCTGTCGAGCTTCGGTGTATCTTGTTTCTTGAAAGCTTTCGCGATTAATGTTTCTGGTTATCTTGTTGGACTTGGCAGGCAGCGTGTGTGATACTGCCAAGAACATTGCCTGCTTAAAGGAATTAACTCTGTAAATACTGAATCTTCTGGCCTGCCTGTATTTGGTCGGAGTTTGGACTTCTCATCTGCCTTAGAAAGGTGAGACATAACATACATACATACATACATACATACATACATACACATATATATAAGTTTTCACGGGTACTTACATGTATGGTATTCAGCTTTGTTTGGGTATTTTCCCACGTCATTATAGTTGTGCTTTTAAACTTGTAGCAACGTTTCAGCAGAATCTCATCTGCCATCATCAGGCCATCATCAGGCATCATCAGGCTTCTGTATTGTGTTCGTCCAGATGAACACAATACAGAAGCCTGATGATGGCAGATGAGATTCTGCCGAAACGTTGCTACAACTTTAAAAGCACAACTATAATGATGTGGGAAAAT